GTATTGGGGGTGTAGGGGTAGTGTCTGTTGTTCAGGGGTGGGTGTGAGGGCACTGAGGGCAGTGAAGTGCAATGGGGGTTGGGGGTCGTGGTGGGAATGTGCAGGTTGGGGGGAGGGGCCGGGTGGTGTGTTCTGGGTCAGATAGGGGTTTTTCGGTCCTTTAGGGGTGTTGGGGGGGATGTCAAAGGGGGGTGAATTTTTTTTATTTTTTTTCAGGTTTGAGTGTTCGGGCACGTAGGCACACGTGTCCGAGGCCCAAACCGAGAATTCTGTTTTTCGGAATTCAACGCCAAGCCCCCGTTTTTGCGTTAAACGGGATTTAACGGAGGTCCTGGGGCGCGTTAAACGGATGAACGGCCGTTGAATTTCGCCCGTTCTCCGTTCAAAAGATACACAACAGATGACAAAGTTATATCTTCCCCTCAACAAAGATAAAGTGTGGGCAACTCTCGTCCAAATGAGAGAGGAGAAAAATCCTGAGATTGATGGTTTGCTTAAGGGATTATGAGAAGTCATGTGACCACTTCTTAACAATGACCTGATGCAATTCTACAAAGCAGTCGGGGAGACGGGGGAGACGGGGGAGCTGCTAGGACGGGAGGTGTCATCCTTACTTCACAAAAAAAAGACAAAATGAATATCTGAAACTATACACCTATTAGTCTCTTGACGGTAGTCTATTAGATGCTTCCAAAGCCTTGGGTAACCGCATGATTGAGCTGATTGAGGATGTTATCCACCCGACACAGACAGACTTTATGTGAAATAGGAACATACGAGAAAACATTCTGCTTGTGAACGGAATGATTAAACTGTCCCACCAGTCCAAATTTCTCCAAAAGCAATGCAACTTTTATTTTTATAGATTTTGAAAAAGCATACGATCATGTTGATTGAGTCTTCCTCGACAGGTGCCTGCAAAAAGTGAATTTTGGCCTGAATTTTTGAAGGTGGGTAAAGATCTTACACCAGAATGCGACAACCCGAGTACAAGTGAATGACTCGTTGGTACCAAAGATTAGACTACAACGGCCGGTTAGGCAGGGATACCCGATTGCCGCTTTTCTTTTTATCATAATAATGAAAGCCCTATCCATCAACATTTGCTGCAGCGAACACCTCGATAATATCAAGATTGAAGGCATACCAAAGGACTTGACAATAATGGTGGAAGCGTCAACCTGCGATATGAAGAGAATTGAAAGACTCATGGATTGCTTATGCCTCTTGTCAAAAATGACATTCAATTGAGGGCAGAAAACACTAGGATGATGGCTTCACCAACAAGGGGGGAGGCCGCCTGAAATACCCTGTGTGATATGGATGGCCTCCGACACAGCGATCCAGGCTATGTAATCCGTACGTACGGGCGTTCGGGGTCCCGTACGGGGTCCGAACCCGATGGCGTTTGGCCCCCGCCAAAAATGATTTCGGGGCCTAAAAATATTTGTTTTATTCTGAATTTTGTTTTGTGAGTTCTCTATGACGTGAGGTACATGCTTTTAAATTTTCAAGTCATTTGGCTCAGCCAAATAAGAATTAAAAATCGCCAAAGATGGCGGTGTCAAAACGTGCTTACCCATGTTTTTTTTTCACTTTTTACTTTTTGTTTTCACTTTAGTTCGGGGTCTAAACAATTTTATTATTTTTTGAATTTTTTTAAGTGTGTTTTTAATTATGTGAAGTACACATAACTAAATTTTCAGGGCATTTACCTATTCCAAAAAAAAATGAAAAATCGCCAAAGATGGCGGTGTCGAAAACGTGCTCACGAACTCATCAAATTTAATTCTTTTTTTATTTTTTGTTATTTTTATTATTAGTATTTGTTTTTCATAATTAATTTTTATTTCAAATTTGGCAAAGAATTTGGATGTTATGCTCAGGAAAATTTTGTCTAGTTTAGTTTTCTTCATAACATATTTTTTTTTCAGATTTTTTTTTTTTTTTTTTTTTTTTGGTCCGCGTTCGGCTCGAACGGCCGAACGCATCCCCAAGGGGTCCCATACGTTCGGGCGTTCGGGTTCAGGCGTTCGGCCCGTCCTGAGCGCCGGTTACCCTGTATATATCGTCACAAACAGAACTGCTCGGTAAAACCGTAGGCAGAGAGAGAGAAGACGACAACAAACGAGGGGCTGTGACAAACTGTTTCGTCGGAGTTTCACCGACTCATCAGGAGGCTGAATATATATGTATATATATCTATGTATCGATATATA